GGATAGACTAGTCCATAGACTAGTAAATAAACTTATACATAGACTGGTCAATAGATTACTCCATATACTAATCAATAGACTAGTCCATAGAGTAGTCAATAGACTAGCCCATGGATAGACTAGTCCATAGACTAGTAAATAAACTTATACATAGACTGGTCAATAGATTACTCCATATACTAATCAATAGACTAGTCCATAGAGTAGTCAATAGACTAGTCCATAGAGTAGACAATAGACTAGTCCATAGAGTAGTCAATAGACTAGTCCATAGAGTAATCAATAGACTAGTCCACAGACTACCCCATTGACTAGTCCACAGACTAGTCTACAGAGTAGTCAGTAGACTACTCAATAAATTAGTCTATAGGCTAGTCAATGAACACGTCCATGGAATAGTTAATAGACTAGTCCAACCATAGACCAGTTACTTAATAGACTAATCGATAGACTATTCACTAGAGTAGGCAATAAACTCGTCCACAGACTAGTGTATAGACCAGTCCACCTACTAGACAGTAGACTAGTAATTATAAAACCAAATAAGTATTTTTAAATTTCCACTAAAAATATAGTTTTTTTTAAAGAAAAGTTTTCATTCTTAGAAAAAAGTTTTATGCATTAATTATAATTCTTCATTGAACCTCTCTGCCACTAAACGGGGCGACACAATGACATTCTTCCGGTCTGTTTAAATTTAGCATTTATAGGTTTATCTTTTCAAAATTAACAAAAAAAAAATGTAAGTTTACGCTATTAAACTAAAAACAAATCACATAAATCTATTAAAGATTTTAAAAATAGATCAAAATTTGTACACATAAATAGAAATACCTATAAACAGGGGACACACATACAGTTGCCTACAACTTTAACAACAAATTGGCGTCTACCGAAATATAAACTAAAGGCAATAAACTTTTCAAAATTTAATTGGAGACACAACATAAAATCAAACAACTAAACAATGCATCTAAAAGATAATTAAAATATAGAAACACATTTTCATTTCAAAGGCTCTTTTTATTTCATTTAACACTATTCAATTTGAAATTTCAAATATTATTCTTTAAAATATTAGAATCTACAGCACACACAGCTATATAATCCAACTTTCATAAGTTTTTGTATGTTTTGGAATTTGTATTTTTGGTTATTTATAAAATTTCTACTGCAACTAAGTAAATATTTGTTTGCTGCCTAAAAACTACAAAATGCATTTTTTTTAAGATTTAGTTTTTCTTATGGGATTTGTTTTTATTCTATTTTCTAGATTTGTTTCCTTTTTGGCGCATTACATGCAACAACGTCTTGTGTGGAAGCAGCAGTTTTATAGAGCTGGCACAAGATAGACACGAGAAATACATACAGTGAATCAACTAAGTTTTTTGCCTACCTTTTTTAAGAGAATTTTGTTTTTTGTTCATAAATAAAATTCAAAAAAACAGATAAAAAGTAAAATTATGTTTTCCAATTGAAAATAGAGATTATGTAGAATGAGAAAACCAAGAAAAACAAGTAAGAAATTATAGTCGGGCGAGGCCGACTATATAATACCCTACACCTTTGACAAAAATATAATGTGATTTAGTTGCCATAATAAAGCATTTAAGTTGAATTGTACCTTGCATTAGATATACATACTTAAGCCGTTTATTGTTGAATAAAATTGTGGACATTTAAGTGAAATTTTGATGGGGGCTTTTCATAGGGGCTAGGGTCATATGAGAACCTATTATTATGGAATTCGTGGGGGTCATCAAGTCCTGTATACAACTTGGTTATTGCAGCTTTTTATCGAGATATGAGTATATTAAACATAATTATGAACTTAAAAGCCCTATTCGGCGGGTTCAGTTGTATGGGGGCTAGGTGAAATAATGGACCGATGTAAACCATTTTCAACAGACTTCATCTACGGTACCAAAAGATCAAATTACATTGAATTATCTCCAAAATTGCGACCTGTAGTTTGATTACAACTTTTAAAAGCCCTATTCGGGGGTTCAGTTGTATGGGGGCTAGGTGAAATAATGGACCGATGGTAACCATTTTCAGTAGGCTTCGTCTACGGTACCATAAAAGATCATGTGCAAAATTTCATTGAATTATCTCCAAAATTGCGACCTGTAGTTTGATTACAACTTTTAAAAGCCCTATTCGGGGGTTTCAGTTGTATGGGGGCTAGGTGAAATAATGGACCGATGTTAACCATTTTCAATAGGCTTCGTCTACGATGCCATAAAAGATCATGTGCCAAATTTCATTGAATTATCTCCAAAATTGCGACCTGTAGTTTGATTACAAGGATTACAAGCCCTTTTGGGGGGTTCAGTTGTATGGGGGCTAGGTGAAATAATGGACCGATCTTAACCATTTTCAATAGGCTTCGTCCCTGGCACAATAGAAGATCATGTACCAAATTTCATTGAATTATCTTCAAAATTGCGACCTGTAGTTTGATTACAAGGTTTACATGGACGGACGGACAGACGGACGGACATAGCTAAATCGACTCAGAAAATGATTCTGAGCCGATTGGTATACTTTAAGGTGGGTATAGGACCAATATTATTGTGCGTTACAAACATCAGCACAAACCCAATATACCCTCCCCACTAAAGTGGTGTAGGGTATAAATATTAAAATAAAAATTTTGGTGCATTTGTTGTTGCATTTTATTATTTTTCATCAGAATTTGCACGTCAATAAAGTATTTTGCATATTGAAATTTCCAGTTAATTTCGTTGGGTTTTTCAAATTATTTTTTAATTGCTTTTTGGAATTTATTGTTTTATTATTAAAAGGACAGGTGTTAAGTATTTTTCAATTGTAATTTTCAAAAATTATATCCTTATTGTGTGAAACTGTGTAGTTATTTGCGTCAAAATTGTTTAAAGGGAAATTAGTTTATATTTTTAGAACAAGTATAAATCAATGAAATTCAATTATGAGATGTTTAATCAATCATTAAAAAATATAAAATATAGAAATTGATGAAATAACACAAAGAATTATTAAAAAACGCACTGAGTTGTCTTTCAAAATCTTTAACTGCCAAAGGAGAGCGACTTGTATCCAAGCAAAAGCCACTGAAGTCCTCATTTTTCTTCTCCAAAGTCCATATACGAACTTAAAAGAATACTATGTTTAAATTTAGACCTCTAAACAGACCATAGGTTGCTTGGAAACAATATAAAGTGACCTATCGTGTGGTACGGGAAAAATACTTAATTTAGATATTTACAAATAGAGGCGGTTCTCATCACCTAAGATCCACAAAAGCAATATTTTTCAGCTAATACATACACTTATATATAGTTAGAACCCAAATCAAGAATAACTATCCAAATCCAACTACGCCTACTGTATTTTAGTCATAAAATAATGCATTCAAAATATGAGGTAGAATATCAAGATTCTAGCATGTAATAGTTCTATAGTGGTAAACGGTGATATCCCCATACTTAGAGTGGCTAGGATGGTACTTAGTGTTAGCTTTATTGAATAAGAATCAATATTATACAATTCTAAATGAAATTCACACAGTACTCCCCAAATAGATGGGGTTTCCGTAATGTAGTTTTTATTTATCAATACAAAATGACCAAAAACCCAGATTATATTTGTTATAATCTATAGATTTATACCCCACTAACATTTTTTTCTAGGTCCAAATCCATTGATTTCCTAATATATCATGTATTCAATTCAAAATTACTTATTATTTTCGAAATTAAATCAAAGAAACGATAGATTTCATGTTAAGTCAAATATTGAAAAATTCTTATAGGTATATAGGATAATAAATCGGTTAAGAAATGTCCAAACTTAGTCGTTCCACTACTAAAATATCTAAAAAATGTTATTCTAATACATAGGAGTAATAAAAATATTAAATTTTATAAAATAATGCAGCAATATTATAAAAATTAACAAAAAACCTAAAAAAGCAAAATACTTTATTGACCTTAAAAATTAACAATACGTTCACATTTTATCAAAAATCTCGTTAATTAATATCACGATTTTACTTTTTATGGTAGAAAATTAAAATATAAGATATTCTTTAAAAAGTACAACAAACAAATTGCTTTATCTTGCTAAAAATAATTGTTCAGATAAAGTTTTTTTCTTAAAATTTATAAAATTTTACATAGGCAAATTACTTAATTGATTCACTGTACATTTTTTTTTGGCTAAAAGCCAAAAGTGTGAAAAAATTGTCTTGTTATAGATTTGTATGGATAATTTTTGTTGGTGTTAAGTGTGTGTGTGCTTTTTTAACAGAATTTTTGTTGTTGTTGTTGTTGCTTTAAAGTTATTTATAATATAGACTTTGTTTTCTTTTTTCTTTCTTTTGCAGATGATGCATATTAAATGATTTAATGATACGGATATATTAAACATCTGTTCGATTTATTGAACATATATTAGTTTGTTAAAAGTTATTTTTATATTGTTCGAGTTTAAATAGAATAGCAGAATGGAGTTGAGTTTTTTAATTAACAGCAACAATTTCGTTATTCGAATTATATTGCATTTAAATAGTATTTTGAGAATTAAAGGGGTTTAGATCTGACTCCTACAAGAGAGATAATGGCTACAGCAAGATACCCCAAGTCTACACTTTATCAGGTCTGCCTGTTTAAAAAATTAGCAGTTTCTAAGCGCGGGAACCCAGACCAAACTAATGTCAAATAACCCATCATTAACAGACTAATAATTTCCGAAGAATCTTTCAAGTTCGGTTAAACAGTTCTATAAAATTTTGAACGATTAGAATTCTTTAGAAAGTTATTTTTAAATATTCATCAACTATGATTCAGAATAAATGAGTTTTACAGGTTCCCGAAATCAAATCCTAGATATTACAAACTTATAAAAGGTGGTCCATGAGCTGATGGATGTCTGAATTCTTTATGAGCCAACTTTATATTTAGAAATTAGAAAAAAAAAAAAAACATAACAATATAGAAGAAAACTCATATTCTACTTACAAATTCTTTTCATCACTCGTCACTGGTTGAGTTTTAAATCTATCCTTATAGAGATCACGTCTTATGACACTGGGTTTTAGAATTTTAACACTACCAGCAGTATTATACGAGCTATTCGGATCATTTTGTAGCGGGGATTCCCACGAGGTGTTAACAGCAGCTGTAGCTGATGCCGATTCACCCGGCGATGATCGTACGCCACTCTGATTGGCAAGGAACTTTTCAACAGATTTTATACGTTCAGCTACTGATATATTAGAGCCAGCCGTCGAGTTGGTCAATGAAGAAACCAATTCACTGGGCAGAGCTTGTGAGGTAGCGATAGCATTGAGAGCAGCAGCTAAATCGATCACAGGTGCTTGATCGTGACGTTCAAGAGAACGTGTACGTCTTTTGAGCAGGAAGGGTGATAACGTTTCACGTTGTTCACCCTCTTGATGTGGGCTATTGGTATCGGGTTCTCCTAACGAGCGACGTTTTGAGGGTGAGTCTGTTTTAAGTATAGGCCTAACTTGAGGTTCCTGTTGGCTTTCGCTATCCGAGTAAGGACCAAATTCAAATTCCTCCCTACTGGATTTGCGGGAAGTCTTTAGTATGGGTTTTATTTCATGTTCATCCGAATCACCGGAAGATTTTTTCTTCAATATGGGTTTAGGCGGTTTAACCGACTCATCCCCCATGGAAGAATCCAATTTAAGTATAGGTTTTATATCGTACTCTTCATTATTGGGTGTATAGTTGTCATCATTGGGAAACTTGTCACCAGTTTCAACAGCAGCTGAAAGTTCGGCTGCTGCTAAAATCACAGCTTGAGAGATCGATACATGTTTAGGAGCATGATCTGCTCCATCTGAGGGAGTTGATGTGGAGTCTTTTTTCTTGAGTATACTATGAGGTTGTTGAGGTTCTCTACTGGCAGAAGGACAACCATCACTTTTAGAGCTGTCATAACTGCTTTGCTTTAGTATGCCATGATGACCTGCTCCTTGTGCGGAGGAGGAGGATGAACTGCCATTAGCTACTTCTTCGAGCGAATTGCGACGAGCTGATTTGATCAAAATACTACGTTCATCTGGAGAATGAGAGCGTGAATAATAGCGCGATTCATCTAAAGATGAACGTTTTTTGAGTATACCAGCTCGTTTTTGTTTCGAGGGAGTATCCATGACACTTGACGAAAAGGTGACCGGTGAGGCATTACTTGAAGCTGAACTAGATTCTCCTGCCGAGAGATGATCTTTTTTCTTAAGTATTGAAACGATATGATTGGGTGTGGCTGTTATGGTGCTTCCTTGGTTTAGTGAGTTGGGAGGACAATCAGTACTTTTACGTCTTAAAATGGGCGAAAGTTTGGCTGGTTCAAAAGCAGCAGTTTCTCTCTCTATGCTCTTTGCTTTTAGCATACGCAAAGAACGCATCATGCCACCTTTCAAATGTTCCGCCTCACCATTGGACATTTCGATATGTTCTAAAGGATCAGGTTCATAGTAAATACATTCTTCCTGCACAAAAGTGGCATGTTTTACAGGTGAGGGTCGGCGTTGTTCTTCTCCCTTATTGCTGGGCAAATTAAGAGATTCTGTTTCATTTTGCCGCTCACGCTCTTGGCTGGCTCTCAAACGATTCATACTCTGGGTTAAATCTGCTATAGCATTTGTAGGATTTGGTGAGCAACTATCACTAACATTTTCCACTATTTTCATAATTTCCTCCAGACCAGTGCGAGTACGTTCATTAAGTTTACGATTTACCTCTGAGGAACGTTCCTTACGCAATTCACCTATGGCCACAGTATCACTGCGTTTACTTATTCTGGTAGGCGGATAAGAAGATTTAGGGGACGGACTATCTTTAATATTTTTCGGGCTGGCTGTTTGAGCTCTACGACGTTCTGAAGTAGTAGCCAAATCTAAACCTCTTCTGGCCATTTCCATGTGATAGGATAAATCATTGCGTATGGCTGGTTTTGTGGGTGATGGCACACGTGTCTTTTGTGGTGAAATCAAAGCCTTAAGCGAGGCATCATCATTGGGTACCAAAGGACGTGACATGCCCATTTCACGGCGTCTTCTTCTACGCATAGCAGAGTCATCTATAAAGGTAAACAAGTTAATGTTATTATAAGCCATTAAATTTAGAACATGAAATTTATTAAATTTCTTAACAAAAAAACTCATAACATACGTGCATTGTAAATCTCTTTAAAATCACATTGAAAACAAACATATTTTACACAAATCTTTTGGGTTAGTACTACAAACTGTTGATCGTTGATATTTTTCAGAGTGAATGATTGCAAATGTAAATGTTTTAATTTAGTTTTAATATCTAGTTCTTTAATTTCTAAAAAAGCCATTTAGATTTTCAACAATTTAACGTTTAAAGTTCTTCTTTGGACTTGTGTCTTAAGACTAAATTTGTTATTTGGAAATTATGCAGATTTTGCTGGTTGAAGCAAATAAAAAAAGGTGCATGTTGTTGTTTCTTTACAAATTCTTCAATTGCATTTTTATGCTTAAGTAATCATGAGCACTCAACCAAAACCGAAATTCATTAAAATTTTAATTTGATTTTGTGAAGTGGAGGAGAGAAGGCATCTCTTATGAAACACCCACTAAATACTAAATGATTGAAGATGTTGTCTATAATAGTTAAAATGTTGATTTGTCATGCTAATTATGTATCAAATTAAAAGTATGGACTACTACTGCAACACAGTTATTTGTAAACGTATGGAGGGTTTAGGAGGGAGTAGTACTTATTGGTAAATTAGAGACGGAGTTCTGATTGTTTATGAGGTGCTTATCGGAATTCTTTAGGTTTAGGAATATAAAAACGCGTTTTTAGATTATAAGAACAACAACAAGTATAAGAACTAAATGTCTGACATAGATTATCAATAAAAAATGAAAGAAGTGATGGTCGCCATACAACCTCAGCAACCTCATAGTATACTCAAACGACTTAACATTAAAACCCTCTGATGGAGGAGACCATGCTGCTAAACATATATCGATCTCTCAAGCTATGATTTTATCAGCAGCCGAACTGTCAGCTGCGGCTGAAATTGGAGACAAATTTCAATTATGAAGAATACGATGTCACGAAGATAAAATAGTTGTATCCAAACTTTGGTCCAAAATAGATGCTTACGTCTAGCTTGTAGTCGATATATTCATGATATAACAATACAGGCATGGAAAATTGAAATTTTGGAATAGTACTAACTTATAAGAAAACGAGTATTTTTTTAAGTTTTAAAATAATTAGTATTATACTACAGACTAGACTATAAACTGGACTGCAGAATAGACTACATATAGACGAGACTATAGATTAGACTATAGACTGGCCTATAGACTTTAGACTAGACTATAGACTAGACTTTAAACCAGAATATAGACTAAACTACAGTCTAGACTATAGTCTAGACAATAGACTAAACTATAGACTAGACTATAAACCAGACTATAAACTAGACTACAGACTAGACTAAAGACTAGACTAAAGACTGCACCATAGACTAGACTATAGAATAGACTAGACTATAGACTAGACTATAGACTAGACTATAGACTAGACTATAGACTAGACTATAGACTAGACTATAGACTAGACTATAGACTAGACTATAGACTAGACTATAGACTAGACTATAGACTAGACTAGACTATAGACTAGACTATAGACTAGACTATAGACTAGACTATAGACTAGACTATAGACTAGACTATAGACTAGACTATAGACTAGACTATAGACTAGACTATAGACTAGACTATAGACTAGACTATAGACTAGACTATAGACTAGACTATAGACTAGACTATAGACTAGACTATAGACTAGACTATAGACTAGACTATAGACTAGACTATAGACTAGACTATAGACTAGACTATAGACTAGACTATAGACTAGACTATAGACTAGACTATAGACTAGACTATAGACTAGACTATAGACTAGACTATAGACTAGACTCTAGACTAGACTATAGACTAGACTATAGACTAGACTATAGACTAGACTATAGACTAGACTATAGACTAGACTATAGACTAGACTATAGACTAGACTATAGACTAGACTATAGACCAGACTATAGACTAGACTATACACTAGACTATAGACTAGACTATAGACAGGACTATAGACTAGACTACAGACTAGACTATAGACTAGACTATAGACTAGACTATAGACTAGACTATAGACTAGACTATAGACTAGACTATAGACTAGACTATAGACTAGACTATAGACTAGACTATAGACTAGACTATAGACTAGACTATAGACTAGACTATAGACTAGACTATAGACTAGACTATAGACTAGACTATAGACTAGACTATAGACTAGACTATAGACTAGACTATAGACTAGACTATAGACTAGACTATAGACTAGACTATAGACTAGACTATAGACTAGACTATAGACTAGACTATAGACTAGACTATAGACTAGACTATAGACTAGACTATAGACTAGACTATAGACTAGACTATAGACTAGACTATAGACTAGACTATAGACTAGACAATAGACTAGACTATAGACTAGACTATTAAACTATAGACTGGCCTATAGACTTTAGACTAGACTATAGACTAGACTTTAAACCAGAATATAGACTAAACTACAGTCTAGACTATAGTCTAGACAATAGACTAAACTATGGACTAGACTATAAACCAGACTATAAACTAGACTACAGACTAGACTAAAGACTAGACTAAAGACTGCACCATAGACTAGACTATAGACTAGACTATAGACTAGACTATAGACTAGACTATAGACTAGACTATAGACTAGACTATAGACTAGACTATAGACTAGACTATAGACTAGACTATAGACTATACTATAGACTAGACTATATACTAGACTATAGACTAGACTATAGACTAGACTATAGACTAGACTATAGACTAGACTATAGACTAGACTATAGACTAGACTATAGACTAGACTATAGACTAGACTATAGACTAGACTATAGACTAGACTATAGACTAGACTATAGACTAGACTAGATTAATAAAAAAGAAGAAAAAGAAGCTTAGATAATGCCGAAAGTTGAACGTTGTCATTCAGCTGTTTCTTCAATTTCGCCTAAAACAGTAAATATAATGGATATAAATCTGATCAGAAACAACTTTATTTGCAACAAACTTCAACAAATTTAGAGTGATTTATACGACGAAAATGTTATTGGAAATTAAATGTTATATTGCAGCGATAATTTCAACTTCTGTCGGCAAGCGGATAACCTTTAAAAGTGTCGAAGACATAGCAATATTAACATAGGTTGGTAACATTTCGTTTCTTAAAAAGAGAACGATGTCATAAAAGCTGTACCAGTGACGAATTTTAACTAGCATAAAAACGAATCGAACCGATTACTACAGAAAAACATTTGGTCAAATCGGAATCAAATTTAAATGCTTAATATAATTTCAATATCCGATATATGTAATATGAAAAGTATTTTTTGCAACAGCTGCTTTTCATCATGTATCTTCCGTATTAAGAATACTTTACCCAGTTTGTGAAAAATTATTTAGGAAAAAAAATAGATTTCTCTTTATAACTCCCATCATCAACTTACCACCATCTGGTGTTGCCTCTTCATTTTGCGAACGATTTAAATTCGATTTACGTTTCGAAGACTTATCACGATCCTCATTACGTCTAGGTGATCTATTACACTAATGGCGGTTAAATAAATAAAAAAATTATTAATAAAATTTCACAATAAGAAAAAATCAATAACTTACAGTTCTACTTTTGTGTACAGGGCTCAATTCCAAAAGTTTTTCATTATTTTGACCGCCATTACTTAGCGATGATTTCGATTTATCCGAATCGGTATACATGGTAGAACAACGTGGTCTAGTGGCCGTACTACCCTCATCTTCCGGTCCCAAAGGACTTACAGGTAAATCATTAATTTCCATAAAATCAGCATCAATATAATCTTCATTGTGTGTGGGTGATGATTTTTGGTTACTTGCCGATTTTGTTTTCACTTTAGGAGAAGCGGTAATTTTTACCGTACATTCTGTGCTGCTACTTTGTGATTTCAGTTTGGGTGATTTAGGTGAATTGGCATTCGAGCGTAAGCTATTCGAACGTGAGGCTGTGCAGTGGGTTTCACTAAGATTCTGTTTCATTGAAACGGATACAGAGGGTATCAGTTTCTTGTTGCCACGATGTGTGGGTGAACTATTAGCCGAGGACATTTTGTGATGTTCTGCTTCCGAGCCACTGGTAAGTTTTTGATAATCCGAAGAGCAGCTAGAGGGTGAAGCACGTGAGTGATGTTGTTGTGGTTTAGGTGATGTTGGGGAGGTAAAACGTTGCTGCTGTTGCAATTGTTTCTCTTCGTCCTTTTTCTTGTCTAAAAAGGTGAGAAAAGTAGAATAGAAAAAAAAAACAAATGGAGGGAAATTAGTTACACATTTGGAGGTTAGTTTTTCTAAGGATTTATGTTTTTCAAATAGAGTTTTAGTAAACAAAGTTAAAAGGAGAGAAAGATAGAGAAAAGCATAAAGGACAGGATAGGATTGAAAGCAATAGTATAACGATTGATAAGGACATTAAGACAACAGTTAGAGAAAGCATTGTTAAGGACTATTATTTGACAATAAAATTAAAAATGTATTTAACGCTATTTTTTAGTAAAATATTAATTTATTATAAATTTAATAAATTAATGTTTTAATTAGGCTATTTTTGTTAATATTCCTACTTTATACAAACCATATAGAACTAAAAAAAGTCTTAGATATGCAAGTTATTATAGTCGAATATAATTGACCGGTTAATTTCGTTCATAACCTTAAAATTTCCTAAATTGTTTTCATTATCTCTATTTGTGGTCCTCATGAGAATCAACACATATGAATTTTTTAAAATCTTCTTGCTTTTAACCATAATTTGATCTGAATATCGCTGAGTTTCATAAAATAAGATTTTCAGGTCGTCCTCTAAAACTAATTTAGATGAATATCTGAGGCTGTGCTCTTCTGCCATGTATATTATATATTACATGAAAGGAGCAGGCAGGTATAGCATAAAATGAGGAAAATTAAGAGGTATTTGTCGATCTAGTTTTAGAACGATCGGTATTCGATAGACTGAATGTACTTTGGTCCTATTATCAGGAACTTCTTTATCCATGTGCCGATTTCTTAATTGAGCTTACAACTTGAAGAGAGGATTTTTGAAGAGAAATCCTTTTCCATAACATATACATAAGTTCTGGAGTTTGTCATTCTGTTCTTACTGTCATTTCTAGATTTATTGAGTAATCAGAGCTTAAAAAGAATGAATTCTATTTAGAATAAATTCGTAGTTATTTTTCATTCTTCTTTAAAAACATTCTCTGTAAATGGTTTCAAAAGGTAAATGCTATTCAGAATCAAATCTCAGGAATACGTTTAAAGAACTGACGATTTGTTATATTTTAATACATATTATGTCGCGCCAACATTTGTACGAATTTGTGGTCCCATGAATAGAACGATGCAACGTGCCATCGAGCATACAATGCTTTCAAGTTCGGCAAATGGCCTCCTGGACCATACTCCCTTGGTCTATGCTAACAATGTTGGAAGCGCTAACCACAAAGTAAGGTCCTATAAATCAGCTTTTGAGCAATCAACTTTTTGTCAAAGTCGACTATTAATTTTAATATGTATGTAGTTGGTAAGTCGAATATCGTGCATGAAAAAGGTGATCGCTTTAGGATTTGAAAATCGGAAAATTTTTTGGGACCAGTTCGGCGCTATGAATTTGAGCGATATGTGGTCCCATCAACAAAACGGTGCAACATGCCATACAGCATAATATACTTTCTAGTTTGGCGAATGACCAGCTGGACCATAGATCCTTGGTCTATGTTAACAATGTTGAAAGCGTTAGCCCTAATGTAGAGTTCTATAAATCAACTATTGAACCATCAACTTTTTGTTGAAAAATGTCGAAAATTTTGTTTAATATATAGTCGGTTAATCGACCATATTGAATGAAAAAAGTCGAAAAGTCAACTTTTTTAATCAAATATCGTCAACGGTGATCGCTAAAGGAATTGAATATCGGAAATTTTTTTTGGGATCAGTTCGGCGCCATGAATTTGTGCGTTATATGGTTCCATTAAGAGAACGGAGCAACATGGCACGATACCTTGACGGTTTGCGAATTGCCGGCTGGATCATAGACGCTTGGTCTATGCTAAACCATTATGTAGGGTCCTATGTAGTCCGTTATTCGAACATCTTAAATGAAGAAGGTCAAAAAGTCAACTTTTTATATAAAAGTCGAAAAAAAGTTCAAAAGTCGATGTTAAAAGATGTTCAAAATATTGACAATTTAAAAATTTATAAAAGTCGATTTTTCGTAAATTAAAAAAAGTCGGAAAGTTGACTTTATAAAATTGAAAAATATCGGAAAGTCGACTTTGCACAAATTGAAAAAGTCGACTTTTTGTTTCAACTATTGAATACTAAAACGAACATGAAATTCCAGGTATTTCCGACGTTGTTCTTTGCTAAAGTTATCGAAAACTGGGTTGGTCCACGGTGAACATTTGAACGATGTCGTATTACATCAGTTGATTATATTATCTTAAATTTTAAATAAAAAGTGATTTCAAAATTGAATACACAAGTGTTTTAAATTGAGTTGCTGTATTTAAAAATAAAGCGATCTTAAATAGGTTCAGTAACAGAGATAAATATATTAATTCCGGGTTTAAAAGATTGAATGCAATTTTACGTATAACGATCGATAGATTCAAAACTTTGATTTTTTGAAAAATATCTATAATTTATTAAAATAATGTTAATGTTGACCCAAAAAGCATAAAAACACCACAAGTTACTCTTTCCGCACTTTTGAAAATTAAAAAAATTCCGCATTTTTTAACTAAAAATTAAAATATTAGTTGTTATTGTATGCCACACACTCTTTTTTAAAATATTTTTTGGTTAAACAGTTACATAAATTAGTCAGGTTAAAGTTAACCAAAATAAGTGGAACCAAACATAAAATCCAATAATTAGTAGAATATTTTTTTAATAAACAATTAAAATGTGATTTATCAAAACCAACAAACTACACTGTACAAAATCAGTTATATATGCGGAATACAACAAAAAAAAAAACCAACTAAATTAAGTTAGGAGGGGAGTGGGAGATGGGTTAAACCAATTTCATACAGCAAATTATTAAATCCCTTCTTTTTCCAAAAAAAAAAAATAAATAAATAAACCAAAATTATTTTCAGTGTATGTGTTTTAAGGAGGAAGGACTGACTTGACTCACCCAGTGCGGCGGCACGTAAACGTGTGGTTTTCGTGGTACGCACTAAATGCACTGACGAGGAACACGTCGAAGAAGAATTTGGCGATAAAGGTGAAAGTGTCAGACCCAGTATAGGACTGGCCGGTGATAATTTCATAAAGTGTTGCTGCTGAGACACTGGCCCTGAAGTCACCAATTGCTGTGAGGGTGATGACAATGACGATGAAGTGTTTGAAAATAATGGTGCATTTGTAGTGATTATAAGCGGTGATAGAGGACATTTGCGAAATTTTGATGATGGTGATAGAATTGCAGTTGTAGTAGGAATTGAAGAAGAACAATTTGTAGTAGTAGTAGTAGTAGAATTTGCATTTTGTTTACGTTGCTTAAGAACTGATGAAGCAGTGGGCGTGGCATAGTTATTATTACAATTATGATGATTATTTATGTTATTAATAAGATTTAAATTATTATTAAAATTATTTGAATTGATAAAATTGTGTTTATTGGAAATTTTCAATTGTTGCAAAGAAGAAGCACATGTTTGTTGTTGATGCACATGATGATTATGATGATGATGTTCCATTAATTTGTGTTGTAAGGCAGACATTGCAGTTGGACAGGCAGAGGAAGAAGCTAAAGATTATTTTGATTTAATTTGAAAAAACAAAATGGTTATAAGTAATTGTCAAAACTCAAAACCACAACAAAAATAAAGAAAATTCTTTAAATCCTGCTTAAAGCTTTTAAATTTTCACAATGTTTATAAAATGGTATGTATTCATCAAATAAATTTTGATTTTCTATAAAAGAAATCGAAAAAAATAACTATTATTTTTCTAAGTGTATTTTTTTGGCATATTTCTACTAGTTAAACAAAACAAGAAAAAAATATATAGAAAAATTATTCTAGCTTCAAGCTGTCAAATATTTCATTTTAATTATAATGATGATGATGATGTTGATGATCTCAAACCTCAATGAAAAAAATAAAGCAAAAAAACAACAACCCAAAATCATTACAAACATTCATAACATAATATCTACAATTTGATAAATGATTTTTTTGTTTGTGTATATGTACAAAAAAAAAAAGGTTAAAAGAAATATCTGTTTATATTTCAAACGATTTTCTGTCAATATATTAACAAGTGCGTAGCAGCAGCATTTAAATGTTAAACAATTGAGTTTGAGTACAAAATTGATAATAAATAAAATGAAGAGATAATGCTAGAAAATTATATCTGTCAATATCTTTAAAATACAAAAAAAAAAAACATCAATTTCCTTTAACATCTTCAATCAATTCGTTTGAATAATATCAATAATAATGGGAAGTTTCCGTTTGAAGTGTCGATGTTTAAAATTATATATTTGAAATTGTTGCTTTTTTGGAGGGAGTTTTTGTTTTTATTAAGTATGTAAAGTGGCCACTCAGGAAACAAATAAATAAATGGCCTCCCATTGTGTGTAGACTACATGAGTTCAGTTTTATCGGTAGATTTAAAACATAAAATAATAGAAATTAATTTTTTAGAAGATATTCAGAGGTTCAAAACATTTTAGTTAAACAGAATTGAGAGAATTTCGAAATTCGAATCGAAAATTTTATTAAAACAAAAGGAATTTTTCGAACATTTTCTAAAAAAAAAGAGATTTTCTCTTTTTTCGAAAATTTTCTAAAAAAAAATAATTTTTCGACAATTTTTGAAAAACAGAGAATTTTCTAAAAAAGGAGAATTTTTGGAAAATTTTCTAAAAAACAGACTTTTTCGAAATTTTTCTAAAAAGATACATTTTTCAGAATTCTTTTAATAAAAAGAAAAATTTTCTGAAATTTTTTAATAAAAAGAACATTTTTCAGGAATTTTTTAATAAATACAAAGAGAAAGGAAGAAGAAAGAGAATTTTTCGAAAATTTTCTACAGAAAGAAAACTTTTCGAAAATATTCTAAAGAAAGAGAATTTTTTCGAAAATATTGTAAAGAAAGAGAATTTTTTCGAAAATATTGTAAAGAAAGAGAATTAAAAAAAACTGAATTTTCTAAAAAAAGATTTTTTTATATATTTTTTTAGAAAATATTCTATAGAAAGAGAATTTTTCAAAAATGTTCTAAAAGAAGACAATTTTTCGAAAATTTAAAAAAAAAAGATAATTTTTCCAAAATTTTTTAACAAATATAATTTTTTGAAAAGTTTCTATAGAAATAGAATTTTTCGAAAAGTTTCTATAGAAAAAGAATTTTTCCAAAATTTTCTATAGAAAAAAAATTTTTTTAAAAAGAGAATTTTTGGAAAATTTTCAATAAAAAAGAATTTCTTTTAAAGTTTCTATAAAAATAGAATTATTCGAAAAGTTTCTATACAAAGAGAGTTTTTCAAAAATTTTCTATAGAAAGAAATTTTTCAAAAATTTTCTATAGAAAGAGAATTTTTCGAAAAGTTTTTATAGAAAGACAATTTTTCGAACACTTTCTAAAAGAAGAAAATTTTTCGAACATTTTCTAAAAGAAGATAATTTTTCAAAAATTTTCAATAAAAAAATAATTTTTTGAAAATTTTCTATAGAATTTTTCAGAATTATTCTAATAAAAAGAGAATTTAAAAGAGAGGATTTTCGAAAATTTTATAAAAAGAGAATTTTTCCAAAATTTTCTAAAAAGGAGAATTTTTTGAAAAGTCTCTATAGAAATAGAATTTTTCGAAAAGTTTCTATACAAAGAGAATTTTTTATAGAAAGAGAATTTATCAAAAATTTTCTAAGAGACAATTTTTCAAACATTTTCTATAGAAAGAGAATTTTTCGAAAATTGTCTATAGAAAATTAGTTTTTCGAAAAGTTTCTATAGAAAGAGAATTTTTTGAAAATTTTCTAAAAGAAAAAAATTTGTCTAAAATTTTCAATAAAAAAATATTTTTTTTTTTAAATTTTCTATAAAAAGAGAATTTTTCGAAAATTTTCTATAGAAAGAGAATTTTTCAAAAATGTTCTAAAATAAGACAATTTTTAGAAAATTTTCTAAAGAGAATTTTTCGAACATTTTCTAAGACAATTTTTCGACAATTTTCTATAGAAAGAAAATTTTTCGAAAAATTTCTATAGAAAGAGAGTTTTTCGAAAATTTCCTATAGAAATAGAATTTTTCGATAATTTTTTTAAAAAGAGAATTTTTCGAAAATGT